ACAGAGGGAGCATGGCGCCTCTCTAGGAGGTCCTCAACACTTTCCCAAAACAGTTGAACTGTGCCAATTAATTTCAAACTGGAAAATTGTACCCTCCGATCTTCAGGGACCCCATACCAGACAAAGAAGCGATCCATATCTCTAACTCATTGATTGAATACACTAGGATCTAGACAACCATCAAATATAGGGGCATCTAACTTAATATTTCGAAAGAGACACTCCTCGTGGCGAGGGGGAGATAGTGTACCATAACGGTGATATTCCCACTCGCGTCCACGAGCTTGATTTCCTTCTCTACGATCATGTCTAGCATGGTGTCAACCACCTTGAGGATGACGATGTGGCCTATTAATGGAAGCGTCAGAATTTTCAGCCTCAGTTGAGGATTGGGTTGGGTCAAGAGTGTTTACCCTAGCGGTTAGGGCTCTATTCTCCTCACGAGTAGCGGCCAACTCAGTTTGGACAGCCGTTAATTGATTTTGTAATTGTGTCAACTGTCAGGTGATAGCTTCAATGTGGGAAGGGTCCATGGCAAGGGTACTAGAGCTAGAGGCAGTAACGCGACCACTACACAATTGCATACACGGTAACACAAACTAGGAGAAGTGTCTACTCAGATCAACAACCAACAAGTGCCAGCAGGGAAAATAGTGATCGAAATTAATCTATTGTTATTATTGTTATTTTATTTTATTGTAGGGATTACGTATGGCCCGATCGCAAGCTAATACTACTAATGCCGATAAAATAAAAAGCAAAAGTACGAATGCTAGCTCTAGTCACGTGGGATAAGCGAGTGAACAATGGGTCGGTTCGTGAATTCAATCCAATAGATTTAAGGCTAAAATTATCAAAATAGTAGCAACACAAAGAATTAATTGATGCAATTCTAAAATACAGTAACTGTGTCACTAAAAATAGATAGAAGTAGAGGCTCCCTGAGTTCAGTTGGCCTGAGTCGTCCTAGCGTCGAATGCCTCCACTTTCTGAACTGTTAAGCGCTGAGATGCCAAGATAGAAAATTTCGTGTTCGTCAAGGAAATAATGTACCTATAAAGAATGTCAGGAAATTCTCAAAATTTAAGAAATTTTTTTTTTTAAATAACACAAAATCAGACCAACAAAATAATAAATGAGCCCATTTCACAAATGTGGGCCTAAATCACATTCAAAATCTCAGTCAAGCCCAAACCCAAGCAATAACTAATAAATCCAACCCAATTGAAGTTAAGCCCAAACCCAAGTGATACAAATAAACCAGCCCGATTGAAATCAAGCCCAAACCCAATTGATAACCAATAAACCAACTCGATTAACTAATAACCCAATCAAGCCCAAACCCATAACTCATAAACCAACCCATTGAAAGCTGTAGAAGTCGGCGTCTGGGAACTGGCCAACGAGGAGCATCTCAACGATGTGGGGCGCCGGTTTACTAGCAGAAGTCCGAATCTGTAGTGAGAGAGATGGTTCCGTTTCTGGTTTTGGATGAAGGTAATATGTTGGTTGACTGGGGATGTGGGTGTCGCGTTACAGTATTATTGATTTCGGTAGTTGGGCTTGGACGGCCATTACTGGAACAGTCGGCAGTTGATTGCAATTTCGATGCGTGACTTGGGGAGGTGGTGGTCACAGGTGTAATTGTCGTGCAGCAGATGTTTTGAGTTTGAAGAGGCAGCGGGAGTAATTGTTGATTTGGGGTCGAAATTTGTAATTTGGGCGGTAGGTTGCGGCCTTGACGGTTGGTGGTAGGTTCTGGTGATGATGGTTTGGATTTTGCAGTAGCCGTGGGGAATTGCAGTAGATGGTTGCTAGGGATTTGGTCGGTGTATAGGTAATAGGTGAAGACGGCAACAGGGGTGGACTGTATATTCGATTAGGTTTTCAGTATATGCTCCAGTAAGCAATTTTAAGAAGCACCTTAACGAAAGAAACCAGGTTTTAGCTCTGATACCAATTTGATGCAGGGTGAATAATTCAATAAAGATAACAAGAAGAGATGAGGGAGGGGGAAAAGAAGAATAGAGACAGAGGGAAGAAGGGAGGAAACGGCTATAGTAGGGGTGTAAACGAGCCGAGCCGAGCCGGCTCGTGAGCCGAAACTTCCGGCTCGTGCTCGGCTCGAGCTTTTTCAATACGGGCTTTTTTGGGCCCAAGCCGAGCCGAGCCGGCTCGACTCAAAAAAATAAAGCTCGACCCGAGCTTTTGGCTCGGGCATTACCGAGCCGAGCCGGCCCGTGTTTTGACGTCTTTTTTTTTTTTATTTTTTGTTTCTCCTAATTGCTGCCCAACAGGCAACTTTAATTATAAAGCTGCCTGTTGGCAGCTAGACTGCTGCCGAACTGCCAGCAGGTTAACTGCTGCCAACAGGCAGCTATAAAGCTGCCGGCAGCTTTGTAGCTGCCGACAGCCTATTTTTTTTATTTTTTGTTTTAAATTAAACAGGCCGGCCCGGGCTCGGGCCATTGCCCCTTTTTGGGGCTCGGCCCGAGCTTTGGCTCGGTTGGTCCGAGCCACGAGCCGGGCTGGCCGCCCAAGCCACCGAGCTTTTTTGACATCCCTAGGCTATAGCCACTTTATTATTTAATCAAATTCATCAACTGAAAAATAAAAATGTAAAATAGGTTTAAATACTGAAAATACTGCAAACCTAGGGCCAAACCCAATACACAAGTCCATAAAAATAAAATAACCTAAGTCCAACTAAAATAATTAAAACTGGACTGGGATGTCCTCATCACCATCTTCACTTAAGTTCTCCCCCTAAAGAGAGGATTTGTTGAAGTATTGGGTGCTTTCGGCCCGAGCTTTGGCTCGGTTGGTCCGAGCCACGAGCCGGGCTGGCCGCCCAAGCCACCGAGCTTTTTTGACATCCCTAGGCTATAGCCACTTTATTATTTAATCAAATTCATCAACTGAAAAATAACAATGTAAAATAGGTTTAAATACTGAAAATACTGCAAACCTAGGGCCAAACCCAATACACAAGTCCATAAAAATAAAATAACCTAAGTCCAACTAAAATAATTAAAACTGGACTGGGATGTCCTCATCACCATCTTCACTTAAGTTCTCCCCCTAAAGAGAGGATTTGTTGAAGTATTGGGTGCTTTCGAAGAATGTGACATCCAGGCTAACAAATACTTTTCTTATCGACGGATCATAGCATTTGTAGCCTTTTTGGGTAGGCGAGTATCCAATGAAGATGCATTTACATGCACGAGGATCTAGTTTAGTTCGATGATGAGGGTGTATATGAATAAATTTAGTGCAACCGAATATTCAGAGATGTGAGTTTGACTCATGACAGGAATCGGGAAATGATTCTCAAAATTTTTGGAGAGGTGATTTAAATGAAAGTGTACGACTAGGCATTCTATTTATAAGGTAAGCTGATGTTAAAATGGCATCTCCCCAAAATTGTTTATGCATATTTATGGTAAACATCAATGCACGGACAACCTCAATGAGGTGTCTATTTTTTCATTCGACAATCCCATTTTGTTGGGGAGTGTCGACCCAAGAACTTTGATGGATTATTCTATTTTTTTTGGAGATATTCTTTTAGGGTACTGTTAAAGTATTCAGCACCGTTATTTGTGCGTAAAATTTGGATGTTTGTTTGGAATTGTGTTTGGATCATCGAATGAAATTTATGAATACAGTTCGAGCATCAGCCTTTTCTTTTAGGAGATGAACCCAACAAATTCGAGTATGGCCATTAATAAATGTTACAAACCATTTTTTGTAAGTTCAATTAAGAATTCGAGATGGGCCCCATAAATTACTGTGAATTAAGGAGAACCATTTCGATGGTTTGTGTGTAGACTTTTGGAAAGATGTACGATGGTGTTTTACCAATTCACAAGACTGACATTGAAGATTAGTGGTTATTTTATTTGGAAATATGGTACGTAATATACGTTGCAGGTATTGAAAATTGGAATGACCCATTCGAAAATGCCATAATAGAATTTCATTCGTTTACTCACATCTGTCTCTTCAAAGTAGTAAAGTCCCTCACATTTCTTAACACTGTCAATTGTCTTCCCCGATGATAGGTCTTGAAATATACAGTAATATGGGAGGAATTTAGCCGAACAATTGGAATTTTGTTAAATAATTGAGAGCAAGTTACAAGATAGATTTGGAACATGAAGAACAGACTCTGAGTTATGGAGTTAGAGATACGAATACTCCCTTTTTCTTGTTACAGGTGAGAGTTAACCATTTGCAATTTTGACTTTGATATTGCCAGCACAAAGAGAATATATGGAAAAGAGGTAATAAGAGTCCGTCATGTGATCGGACGCACCTGAATCTATAATCTAGGGAGCTTTGGATGGGGCGTTTGTATGGAAAGCTTTTAAAAGTTTACCTTTAAGGGCTAGTGAACTAGATGATCCAGATGTTTGGAAATTTGAAAACATTTTGTAGGGTTGCTCTATCTGCTCGGGATTGAATGCACTGGTTGGATTGGAGTTATCTTTTTCTTCAATAGGATCAACATTTGCTTGGTAGCCACGAGTTTTGTTAATCTGTCTTGATTTCCAATCTGCTAGCTTCCCATGTAAATAGAGTTGTCAATGGATTAAATTTTTATCCGAATCCGATAAAATTAATGGAAGATGGATTTAAGGTCTCAATTTGATAACCCGATTAAGATTCAAATCCGATAATCCGTTTACTAAATGGAGCAAATATGGATGTAGGTAAATCCAATCCAATTTATTATAACAATATAATATATTTTGTATATTACCGCATAATGTATTACATTTTTAAAAAAATTGATCTTATACTTTATGACTTTTAATGAAGGATGTCAAAATTATTAAATTTCAATAACATTAATATATATTATAAAAAATTTTGTATGGAGAAAAAAATAAAATATTGAAACACGATAATGGGCTTGACGCTTTCTTTCATCCCAACGCCATGTGCCATAATGCCAATCTGACAAATGATAAATTGATAATGGCTTGACACTTTCTTCTCTTCCAAGCTCCAGCCACATTTTACCTTTTGTTTCCTGAACATTCTTCTTTCTAGAAATTAATTCAAAGAACAAAGAAACCTTTCCTATTCTCATAGCTGAATCAGACTAAAAAAAGGGAAATCTCATGGTATTCTCCATCTGTAATTCATCTTTACGTCTGTCGACTCTGCATCCCTATGCAGTAAGGACAGATCTGGTTCATTCCAAATCGAGGTTTCTTCTTCTTTGCTTTGTATTTTTTTTTTTTTTTTTGGTTGTATTTCATCTCCAACATTAAGATTCTTCTTTGGCTTTCATTTCTCTTGTTTTGTTGTTTTCATTTTGTTATTTTGTTGTTTTCCTCAAATTTCTTTAACATATTCACCTTGATTTTAGGGCTTTTTGGATACATATAATTGCTGACAAGCCCAACACTGAAGCGGACAAAAGAGATGATACAAGGAATGTTATATAAGTTGAAGATTCACCTCCAACTTTTCCTAAGAGACGGAAATTGACATCAAAGCTATGGAATGATTTTGTAAAATTTAAGTGGCCAAAAGGAAATGAAATTGCAAAGTGCAAGCATTGTTGTAAAGAATTTGTAGGAGAAAGTGGTAAAGGAACTAGCTACTTAAAGTATCGCTAGGATAGGTGTAATAGGAAAGTTAGCAGAGACATTGGTCAACAAATGCTATCCATATCCAAAAGTTCCCCAGAGGCTGCTGCCATAGTTCAAAATCACGTTTGACCAATTGAAAAGTAGGATGGATTTTGCTAAGGTGGTTATCATGCATAATTATCCTTTTAATATGGCTGAACATGAATATTTTGTGATATTTTGTAATGGTTTGCAACCAATGTTTAAGCTTGTGTCAAGAAATACAGTGAGGTCTAATAATGCTAAATTCCCTAGTTTAAGCTTGTGTCAAGAAATACAGTGAGGTCTAATAATGCTAAATTTCTTACTCTTTGAAAAATTGCTCGGGACATATTTAGCTATTCCAGCAACTAATGTTGCATCCAAGGCTGAATTTAGTGTGGGAGGAAGAGTAATTGATGATTTTCTTGCTTCATTGCTTCCGAAAACTGTAGAAGTTTTGGTGACCACACAAGATTGGCTCCCTTTCCTGAAAAAAAAGAGTAAGTAACTAAGATTTCTAATTATTAAGTTTGGTTATATATATTTTTTTTAATCAAGTAACTATGTATTATTATTTATTTTTTACAAGTATTTAATTTGTTACGTTCTTTTCGCAAAACTTGACATAAATGTTACAAACAAGGCCCTACAAAATTAAAATAATGTTTCTTAATGACTAAAGTTTATGTAAGGTTTACTTATAAATTATGTTTTCAATTTCTTGAAATGATATTTGTTTTGTACAGCCTTTATACTTAAACATCTTTTTTTGTAGGCTTGGTGGACTAGTGGGTGATATGATATGGAGAGAGAGCTCAAACTTAAAAAGCTGTGCTTGAGAATTTTTTTCTTCGTTTTTGTTGCTCACTCTATCTAGAACATTTGTTGGATATGTAGTCATTGCAATATTTCATATTTTGGTTCCTTTTTAATTTGGTATTATCTTGTGGATTGTTATTGAAATTGCCAATAGGTTAATATGGTTATTTTCTTATATTGCAATAAAAAAACATGTAAAATATTTTGGATCAGATTTCCGATAATCCAACAAATCGGATATAGATTTAACAATCTAATATCTGTTAGATTATCGGATCAGATCGAATAATTATTCTTATCGGATCGGATATGGACAGATCCAATCCATATGCGATCCATTGACAGCCCTACATGTAAATCCCAACACGTATCTCCTTTATTTTCTGATTTTCGACAATGATCACACCAAGGATATCCTCTTCTTTGCTTTAATCCATGTCCATTTGTAGATGTCCCTTTAGACGTCGGGTCCAGTCCATAAGATCCCTTCAATTGATTTAGCCCATCTTTTTTAGCACCATGGACCGACCCATTTGACCCAGGTTCTTTAAAATTGTAATTAGACCCATTTGGCCCAATCTCTCTAGAGAGTAAAGCAGATCCGGCATCGTCTTCTTCCAAGCCTTCTTGCTTTCCTTCCTTTGCGTTGATTTTCTTTTCGACGTTCTTCGGCAAAGGCTTCCCATGACGACAAAAAGGGTCATCTGCTCAAAATCCAGCCCCTCACGTCATCCATGTCTCGATTTAAGCAGGCTAAAAACTCATATAACCTATCGTTTTCCAATTTTTTCTCGTACTGTACGCTGTCAGCTGGGCTATCCCATTCTTCTTCAAGATTCTGGTCGAGTTCTTGCCAAAGGGAATTCATTTCAAGGCAGTATTCCATTACCTCTCTGCCCCTTTGCTTCGTCTGCTATAACCTCATTATGATTTCAAAGATTTTAGACGAATATTTGGTGTCTAAGTACATGTCCCTTACAGCATCCCATACGTCCTTTGCTGTGGGTAGAAAAAGATAAGTTTTTCTAATTGCCAGAATCATAGAGTTGACCATCCACACCGTTACCATTGAATTTTCTGACTGCCATCTCTGTAGATGGATGGTGTCGGTCGTGGCAGACTTCTTCTTCTCTCCCGTAAGATATCCTATCTTCCCTTTTTCGTCGATGATAAGTTTAATAGACTGAGCCCATTCTAGATAATTTTTTCCATTTAGTTTTTCTACTGTCAATTGGAATGATGAATGATCGAGTCCACCAGGGCTCATGGCTGAGAGAGATTGACAGGCTCTATGGTTGTTGACTCTTCACTGTGTTCCATGTTTTCTTCCATTAACGGTTTATGACTAGTGTGGCTAGGTTAGAGAAGAGCCTTGCTCTGATACTATATGGAAATTGGAATGGAATATGAAAGTTAATTGTATTACTTTCTGGTGAATATTTTACAATCTGATGAACTGAATTTATAGTACAAGTAGAGAACTAAACTAGGTAAGTTTTGAAAAAAAGGAAACGTGAATCTTACCTAATCTAAATAAGGTACCTAATCAAACATAATCAAATTACAAGGTAATACAAAATATTTCCTAAACTTTTGAGATTTCTACAACAACATATATAACTCTGAGAACAAAAACAATTCTATCTTGACAGGGAAAATGTATTTAGCCACAGGATAAGTTTGCTGTCTAACTCATTCTGGATAGACTTTGTATAAGAAACGCTCATGTCTTATTATATGAGGCAAGGAAGAACAGACACCGGGTAATTGAGATGGAAAATTATTTCATCCTTCTATACTTTGCTTGTAGCTCAATATTTGTCATCTTTAGCAAGAGATGCTATCTCTCTACTGGAAAATATGGTGAGAAAATTGACATAAGCAGCAAATTGTATCCAGATAGAAAAGGAAATAGAATTCGAAACCAAAACTCGGCATTGGAGCTGGCAGAAATCCTTGCTGATGGTTGAAGAAATAAAGCAAAAATAAATTTAAGGCCAAAAGTTTGTCTTAGCCAAATGAAGATAAAAACCATCAGCTTAACATCATTGCATCAAAGCTTCAACACTAGCATTCAACGGCCTTCTAAGGATATCCAGATTATTGAGAATGTTTCAGAACCAATGGTAGGCTGGTCTGGAGATGCGTTAGATAACTTCCAACTCTTGACCGAGTGAAACAGACTGAGAAAAGATTAAATCGAAGTTTCTTAGAGCAAAATAGTAGCAAAACAAAAAGAGGAAGTCATGTCTCAGCACACCAACACTGTTTCAAAGCTTGGAAAACAAAATTCAACCTCAGTCTTACAAAAGTATCAAAAATTGCAGCCGCAATATTAGGCTGATCTAAAGCGTGCATTAACATGTGGATGATATGATATACCAGAACAATTATGACCACTCAGCATTAAGCCACTAAAACATTTACCAGGTCATAATGGAAATGAACCAAAGAGAAAAAATGAAGAAAGAAACATGATAAAAAAACATAATATATCAGAGAGAGAAAGAGAGAGAGAGCAGCTTACTACTATAGCAAAATTTACGCCCAAGGTGTTAGGTGTCTATACCACCTGAGAAAATGTTTTGAAACTTGTATTCTCTGATAATATATACAGAAGGAGACCCCCAAAAAGAATCAAAATTACAAGCCTGCCAGAACTTTAGTAAGAGACAATAAATCACACTTCTCACATTTTGAAAGATAAACATTGTTAACATTCAACTGCCTCCCCTTTGGGAAAAAAAAGAGCAGGTGCCTTGAATAATAGAGAAATTTTAGCCAGTGACATCCCAATAATCAAGAAAGTCATTTTTTTGAATTGCAAATACAATAAACTTCCTTGATCCTATCCTTTCTGCACACGCTTCAGAGTTTTCATGGCTATCCCACTACCGTCATCTCTGGTGGACAACGTATCAAAGCACATAAAAAAATGATGAGGAAAATGGATCATGTAACAATTAAAGAAGGATTATAGAACAATCTCAATTTACGAGCCTACTATAATTCTTATATAGTATAATAAGCCAGCAATTATTAAATTTTCAAGAACATGCTGACATAGTTAATGCCGTCTGGAGGTGTACTAAAAGGATTTACAAGAGAAGACAAAAATTATAGCCTTCACTGAGAAACAATGAAATGTCATCTAATGACATGTAATGTTGGGAATTTATTTAATTATGCACAGCGGAAAATAAAATAAATTTCAATTCCCACTGAAGATCTACTTTGTAATTAGATAAAAACTGTGATAGAAATTGTACCTCTTGCGAAATCTACAAAGTCCTTTGCTTTTCTTTTGTTCCAGTAATCTTGATTTGTCGCCCACATTTGTCCAGCTATCCAATTGTCCAACTTTCAATGGAATTCCACACGAGGAACAAGATTGTATGAGAACTAGGGTTTTCTGCTCTTGTACTGGCACGAAAATTAGAATTATCTA